TTTCCCCCAAAAACAGCCGTCGAGCGGGGGGGGGGAGCGGAGGGGTATACAACCAGTGAAACGGCAACTTTTCAACTTTTTCGCACGCACCTATGCCCTGCGCCCCTGATCACCAAAGCGCGCAATGCGACCAATGCGACCCCTCTCCCCTCCCAGAACACAAATGCGACCCCCCCCGTTCGAACAGTTCGAACGGACGGTTGATCCCTGGTCCCAATTCCGGCCAAGATTTTAGGAGAGCCATGGTTTTGCAGGAGGTTTAATGTGATTCCCTCCAATCTCCCGGGTTAGCAACAAAACAATAATTAGCGACATTGCTCGGTTGCAAAGCGGAGCGGGCGGAAGGCGGGCAAAATGACCGCAGTCGCGAAAGCATAACTTTGTCAGCATTCGGAACGTGTATGGAGATGACATGCTCTTTCTCAATCTTTTTTTTTCACCGATCATTTCGCTCAATTTCCTGCTGCTAAAATGGCTTCAAAACCAATTTTACCTGCAGTAGGGTTCTCTTGAGAACATTATAAACGAAAAGTGCATTCATAGTTAGAGCGCTATCACAAAAATATGGGGGCATCCTCTGGAAATAACCACAAGTCCAGAAGGGGAACGAACTCTGGGTTTTAATGAAGAGATGTTTACGAGGTTAAAGTGGACTGCCACCACAAAGGCCCCTCCACCTATCTTTGCGATAAGTACGTTGTTATTTGAACGTGTCATCAGAAGCAGATCGTGACCCGACTTGCTTAGGAGACTTTTCTAAAGAAATTTCGACGAGAAAACCTGGGCGGAACATTTCAACCAAGAATGAAAAGCTATTCTTCATCTTGCTGAAGCCGGAGAATAGCAATTTGTTTTCGTTAGACCATGACCTTTTGAAGTTAACGTAATCCACGCGACAAAATGATAGACAGTGATGTCGCCCTCACTGCAGAGTGACGATCAATGTAAAAAACGGCACAGAAACTGGAGACATTTGATTGATGCAGGTGAGGCGGGAGTGACGGGTGACCTGAGGTTTCACGTGACTCCCCAGCGTTGTACGATGATGGTTGTAATCCAGCTGTGAGGACAATCATTCTCAGAGGTTCAATAGGTCAAGCCTCTAAATGTTGATAGAACAGTTTCTATTCAAGAAACACACTGAGAATTCATGAGGTGAACGTTCAGGTTATTGCCGAATATGTTGTTTGGCCGATTTCATATACTCACCCCATCCTGGTGGGACCATCGGGCCACAGGCGAAAAGAACGCAAAGGGAAAAAATAATTGCATATGTGTTGGTTGAGAAAAAAATCCGGAATCACCGTGGGACTGCTACGCGTTTAAATTCCGCCAGTGACATCTATCACAAAGCTTGGCGGGTCAGGCGCTCTCAGTTGGTTCACGGAGTGCTGTCTATATAGAAACTTCTACCATTTTCGGTGAAACTCCAGTTCGGGGGGGGGGCACTCCATTTTTTTTCCAATACTCAAGATAAGGATTAGAGGGCTCACGACACGTAATCGACTCATTTAAAGTAGACTTCTGATAAATATTGGTGTAATGGGTGAGAAACCCTGAAACGTTTTCACATTTCCGCCTGCCATGACCCAAGGGAACGGTCCTGGACCAGGAGAAAGGACACCTCCGCAAAGGGCTAAGGGTGCAGGAGCTCCAGGGTGGATCACCTGTGCAGAAAAGTGGATGGGATGTGGGCAGGTAGTGTGGAATGTAGGACATCCACCGGTCCTTATCAAAAGTACGCTCGAAATGAGTCGTTCACTTATTATCTTATCCGTAGTGTTCGATAGCCCAAAGAACTGCTCTCTAGTACTACGGATAAGATAGCAATGGAGTGGCCCCCCGAACTGGAGTTTCACACCCCATTTTGACCTACTCCACTAACATCTCACACTTCTAGTGCATCCTATTCAATCGATCGATTTGTCTCTACTCCCGATTCTCTCACTTCGTCGCCTGATACGCAGCCGTCCCAAGACGGACTTCTTTCGCGGCAATTTGACCTTCGGATTGTCCATAGAGCTGCTTGTTAATTGTAGTTTGTTTTCTTCTTAAGAAATCGAACCTTGATGCGTGAAACTTTGTGTGGGTTGTTTCTAGGGACAATATCTGGACCATATGTCATTTGACGGTAAGAATGCCAACAGGAATTTTCAGGCAAGGGCTTTGAAAAGCGATCACAGTACATCGCGTGGCCTAGTGGATTTTCAATTGTGCGCTATCAGAGCAACAGACAGGGCAGGCTTTTTGGTAAGAAGAAATTGTCTAGAAGAAGAAAGTAGAACGCAATTTGCAATCAATGGAGCAATGATGAAGCCGAACACATCACCCCTCCCGTGCGAGCTCATGACCATGCAGCGCGTAAGAAAATAGTGCTAGAAAGCCTCCATATGTTTCACATAGGATCTAACTACTAGAGGTCAATTTCCCCGCAAGACGTTCTGCGTGACGTAAAAGCCTCTCTGAGTCATCCAGGCCTAGCATTTATCTAAAGACAGGCCTTATGGAAAGGAATGGGACGAAGAAAAAAAACTTAGCCAAAACTAGTAATATGCATGTGTTCTGTGTAAAGTAGGAGTCAGGCGTCTTTGAACAAACTCGTGCAGCATTATTTCTTTCTACCCAGAATACCGGCCGGCTCTAAAGTCAAAAAACGGCCTTAACGAACATTGTAGTTGATTTAGCAGAAAAGCGTTCACAGTCAAAATCGATTCCAAGTATGTTGGCGAAAAGGCAAGGGTGTTCGAAAAATGATAGTTGAAATGCATAAAGCCATAAAATCCTTGCAGTGCAACTTTACAGAGTGATAAGATGTAATAGGGACAAATACGAAAGTAAGAAATTTGAGCCAGGTTTACCGACACGAGTCTGATTATTCATAAGATCTTGTTGCGTCTTCGCCAACTTGCCTTACAGAGACGCAACGCACGTGAGGGGCCAACAGCGCTACCTAGCCTATTGGGCAAGTCAGACGGCGGGTTTTTTTTTGGCCAATTCCGACGTGGTAGTGATCTCAGAGGTCATATCTATGCCAAATAATTGGCGCTCCTCTATGAACTATCGGAACACGTGATGGGAAGCCGGTGGGGCATGCACATCCTCACCTATAGCAATAGTACGGGGTCAGCCTATGTTGCGAGTCCATCGTTTTTATCCTCCAAAAGCAAACCTGGACAAAGTGAAGCGATCACGCGTATGAGCCAGGATTGCGGATCCTATGAACCGCGCCATACGCGTGCTGTTAGCTAAACGCACTAAAAATGGTTAGAAGTTTTAGAAGTTTTCTTTCTTCTTGCTATTAGTCATCCGCCTTGTAGTTTCTCAGTTTTGCTATCTATTGGCGGATCTTAGCTATGCTTACATTCTAACGCTTGAGAAAACGTTTATCTCCAGGGTTATGCTTACATACTTATGTGCCTCCGCCGAGGTCTATGGTATAAACCAGAGGGATGGACTTAGAAGAGGGACGTCTGTGGTACGAGCCTGTCAAGATCTGCGTGCGAGACCTCTTCTGGGACAAGATCTTCATCTAGACGACGGTGCCTTTCGCCTCGATTAGGACAAGGCTCAAGAACTTGTCAGTCATAGGTCGATTTGAATAAATACATCTATTAGTTACCCTGTAAATTCACAGCGTTGCCAGTGATTCGGGAGTGGTCACTGAAAATGAGCGAGCTAAGGCAATACAAGGATACATGCGAAGAAGGGCGGTGCTAAAGCCTCGAGCCTCTGAGCAATGATACGTTCACTACACCATCGCCACTGATAACACTTCATAGCCTCGGAGTGCAGAGACATCGCCAAAAATCCGTACAACTGCCATAAAGTGAACGGCGTTAATCTTGAATGAGCACGTATGAAAGATAAGTTTGCGTTCAATCGTGTCAGAAATTCTGGACGCGGTTCTCATGCATGGCGCAGCTGCATCGAGATTAATGAGCATAGCTTCCGTAAGAAAAGATCAAATAATCATACCGCGTTACTGCTGGAAATGACCAAGGGAAGTGCATTTATCTCAAAAGCCACTATGAAAGGAATGTATGGAAGGAACACTCTTTCAATCACGTTAGCAGTTTTTCTGAGAAGCCGAATGCAAGGCGTATTCCAAACTGTGTTATTCATCATAATTATGGTATTAACAATACAGAATCATGTCCTGCAGAAGCAGATTCGATTCAATACCAAATAAAATAGGCGAAAATCTTCATCTGCTATACATCTAAGGCGCCATGGCACACACTCAACAACAATATAACATAATAAAAATTATTGAATACGGTGTCATAGCGAATACGGTATTTACAGTTAGAATATTTAATTGATGTGAATAAAACAAAACAAACCGGGGCGATAAAACGCTGAACTTTTTGCGCTGCCAAATTACACGCATCAAAAGGACTGAGATTAGAACGAACGACGATAACTGCGCTGGAAAATGGACTATTGGGGACGGGCATGGTATGGGAGGGGGGAAGGGGGTGAAAATGACAGGTCAGGCACTGGGGAGAAGACAATACCGCTGTGAATTCATCACTAGACAAGGTGTGGTGGAGAAATGGTGCGTCATTTTTCACCATAAAGGACGACAACATGGAAGAAAGGCGCGGGGTAGGAGGACGGTACGGTCTCTATGGGGGAAAACATCATCAACAAGGCAAGACGACGGCTGGATGGCTCGGGAATCACACATGAATTGAGCAGCAGTACATGGGTGGCCGTTGGCCAACCTATACAATGTAGGAATAACATACCGTAACCGTACGCAGACACACAAAGAGAAGTTCTAACAGAGGAAAGAATTCTTGTGAATCAATAACAATCAATAGAGAAGCGAATACAGAAATAGACGCGCTCTGATGTCGGGGGTGTCGGTCGGTGCCGAGGCGATGACACAGACATATCGTCACAAACAGCATGCGCTTCTTCTCTTTATGACGCCAGCCATGAATACCACCGGCCTCGAAAAACACGGACAACTAGCACAAAAGAACCGTATGACGCTAAAATTTGATAATCTCCTCCTTTTTCGACGAGCTGAACAGACTTCCACGGGTGATAGACGGAGCAAAACCGGGCGAGTCCTTCTCGAGGGGTGGCCGAGTAGCTGACGTCGGCGGCGGAGGCGATATCGACGATGGCCGGGATGTCCTAAAGGGTTAAAGGGTAGGGTATGAAAAAAAGTAAAAAGAAATAAGTAACAAAACGATTAGGTAAAATTTGAAAATTCGAAGAAATAGGTGCAAAAAACTGACGTCATTCGCGGTTTGGGCGGTACTGGAGGTGGGACACGTCCTGCGCCAACACCATTCAGATTGTCATAGTTCATCGACCGACCATTCATCACAACAGGAATCTGAAAGCGACATTTTTAGGCAGTTTAGGACTAATTATGAGTTAAGGAGCCACCGTATCTGTTAGGGTGGTGCGCCGTGCAGCAATGGACTGCTTGAATTCGTGGGTACTGAGGGCAGGCTTGAGCAGAGAAAAGGTAGGGTAAATAGGCAACGAGAAGTTTCTATGGAGACGTTTGATTAATAAAATAGTTTGACGACAAACGTCGTCCCTAAATAATCTGGTAAGCGTAGAGGTAACGGTTTCCATTTAAAGGAATCTTGCGCGGAAAAATCATGATTCTATTTCAGCCATAAATCACTGGCTTGAGACTCATTATCCACGAT